CCAATCCCTAACGTTCTGTGATTCTGTAACAGGAGTAAAACAGCATGTTTTTCCACAGAAATCTGTTCTTGTCTGAAGACTACATGTCTGGACTTGATTCTAAAAGCATATGGGCATCTATGCTGCATTGTAAGGTTCACAATAGCTACTTTCTCAGTGTTCTAAATAACCTTTCTGTGTGCATGGACAAATGCTTGTATTCATATAGACATCTCACATCTCAGTTTTATTTCCTCAGTGGTATCCTTACTGTTAAATGTAAGTCTCTGCTGCTATGATTGGTTACCCAATATATTTTGGTGAACTTTGTGCTTTTGAAAAGAAAGGAAGGAAACTGCTGGTACAGAACTATTTGACAATGGAGATACAAGAAAGCCATGAAAATTAAAAGCTCTGCGCCTCAACTGTATGTCTGTTTTTAGAAAATGAAATTAAAGAATTGTATAACTAAGGGAGGACTTCTGTTCACTTGACAGTGTTTACTTCAGTAGGTCCGTGTAATTTGAAGATATTCTGAGGTAGTGAGTGATGTTGACTAGTCCTTTGTAATTAGGATGCAGGGCTGCTAAAATTGGATTACATATATCTTTCTGTACCAAATGAAAATCCAGTACTAACCATGCAAATAGACATGACTGTTGTCAAAAGACATCATCTATAGTTATCTGGCCTAGGGGTACGGTTCTTCCACAAACTGTAAAATCATCTGTCAGTTTAGTAGGACTGGCAAGTGTCAAGATAAAAATAATGCTAGGAAAAATGTAAAGCTGTTCTTAAATCTGAGAAATCAAAAGGCTGTGCTTGCTTAAAGATATTTCAGGATAGGTAGGTTGTTTAGAATTCTTTTTGGTGTTCCTATCTTTTTAGCTATCTGTCTAGCTGACTGCTAATATGACGCAATGTGATTTATGAATTCAGACTGAATTGTCTTGATCTCTTAAAGCTTCAGAGATCTTTTGGTTGTGGTTTTTGGTTTGTTTTTAAAAAATTGTACATTGTGCCTTTTGATGGAAAAATTCCTTTATAAGTGCTTGAAATACTTTGCTGATATTTTTGTTCTTTAGTAGTCAGAAATTTATTTTAAAGGTTTTTTGATTATTTCTGACCAGGAAAGAAAGTATTTCTGAAGTGAGTAAAAGGAAAAATATGGCTGCTTGAAAATGATTTAACACATTATACCACTTAGAAATTGTAATTCAAGTAATTCTTTTTTCTGATAACATGTGAAAATAGTTCCTTCTTTTATACAATTTATTGAAAACATAGTGAAGTCTTTGTTACCTAAACCTGTCAGAAAATGTTTGTAGCTTTAGATGTTCATATGCATGTTGCTTAATGATGGTAATGTTGCAGCTGTAATGAACTGTATATACGTTCTTCAGAGAATAAAAGCTGTATGCCCTAAAGCTCCTCTGCATTTTCTAACTTAAAATGAAAAATAAATACTTTATATTTAATATAAAAGATATTATAAAATGCATTATCCCTGTCTACACACCTTGCCTTCTTTCCTCTGAACTAATAAGAAAATTGTGATCTGAAATGGCAAGGTGTTTTTTCCTGATCTGGAAAACTAAGACAATTACAATATTTGTGCTTTGTAGACATATTGGTTGCACTTTGATTACTTATTTTTGAGTGAAGCTTAATCTTTTGAAGAGACACATATTTCAAAGTGCAGGTTTTTTGCCTTTTACTATAGTTAAATATCTAGGAATCTGTTTCCTGTTTACTCCAGTGCTTCTTTCACAAGCTCTTAGAGACCTTGACATTTTTGTGTAGAAAGGTAGAGGATCCACTTTTTAAATTATGTCTATTTTTTATTTTTAAAAATTTATGTATGTTTTTTGTCCTGCTGTAGGAATCTGATGGCCAAGGCTGTCCTTTTTGTCGCTGTGAAATCAAAGGAACTGAACCAATCATTGTGGATCCCTTTGATCCAAGGGATGAAAACTCCAGGTGCTGCAGTATTATTGATAGTTTTAGTATGCCCATGTTGGACTTGGATGATGACGACGATAGAGAAGAGTCTTTAATGATGAATCGTTTGGCTTCAGTCCGAAAGGTAAGTTTTCACATCCTGTACAACAGATAAAGCTATATGTTTGTGAATGAAGCTGCCTGTAACTTTAAACAGTGAGAGGTTACACTTCATGCCCTAGGTTTCTGCAACACATTGCACAGTTCTTGGGTTGAAAAAACAAGATGCATCAATATTGCAGCAATAATACTGAAGTTGAATAGTAGAAATAAAAAAAATCTCAGCTGATATGAACTGAGTTAACTGTTTATTATGGAGGAAGCATGAGTTAGCACCAGCTGAGACTCATATTCAAAATACTCTGTAAGGACAATTCCCTGAACTTTTTATTTGTAAGGAACAAGAATTTTCATACATCCAGAATATATTATTAGTTTTCTGCAGGTGTGTGTATACACAGGCACAGAATGTTTTAGGATTAAACTTGAGTTTCTTAATACGTTATAATTATTATTGTAAAGGTGACTTGGAACCTAAGATATATTGCACACAAATAGCTTTTAATCATGTTTCATGTGAGTTGTCTGCGAATTTTTTTCTGTAGTTTTAGTATTAGGTTCTTTTACTGGGAAGTGCATCTGAGATTATTCATAGTGACTTTGTGTTTTGAGATGTGTTTTGTCCTGAAAGTGCTCTGTGTTAAATTTTGGGACCTTTCTTTGGTCACGGGAGATTTTGTCAATGATGAAAGTTTATTTTATGTTAGTAGTTTTCACTGCTGTATTTTAGCCCGGAATCGATACTGTCATAGGCCATGCAACACTGAATTTTACAGTGCTTTTTCTATATTTTGTCTTTTACTAAGATCATTTAGATTGAATAATTTCCTTGGAATTAATTCTGTAACATCTTACTCTTCTATTTCCTTATCGTTGTATTTGTTGGTTTTTGGTTTTAGGTGGGTTTTTTTGTGGTTTGGTTTGGTTTGGTTTTTGGTTTGGTTGGTTTTTTTAAAGGGTTTCACCCTCATATCTGAGACTATCTGTCTGTTAATATACTTCTAATATCCTTCCTAAACTCTTAAGTCGTATGAATCATTCTTGTGTTGTATATGTAATACAACATGGCCTACTCTTGAGAACAGTTTATCCTTCCTCCCTGGGCTTAAATTGCAGTCTGTAGCCTGACCTCTGTGCGACAGCCTTGAGTTGATAGGCTTTTATAGCACTATCACTGTCATGATAAGGTAAAAATGCATTATGCTTTTATCAAAAGAAGGAATAATAGGCTTTACTATAAGAAGTCTTGTTTTCAGTACCCACCAAGTGCTTGAGTGCTTTGGTGCTTGCTATTTTTGTCATTTATTTCATTGCTCGGTGAAAGAAACCTACTGATTATCCATGAAGTTTAGGAGCAGTGTTTTCCATGCTTTGTTAGCCTCTTGAAGTCCTTACTTGAAAACGTTGAATTTTATCAGGTTATTTGGTGATTTTTCTCATGCAGTTTCTTTCTTAAAATTGTTACCTGTGGTTGTATGGAGTTGCTCTTAACCACACCACCTGTGTGGAATGTGGCATTATTTATATACGCTTTTTGTTAGTAATGCCTTCGTCAACCTTGTCTATTTCTTTGAATCAGTATGAGGATTGTCATCTGCTTAGCATAAAGCGGTTAATCCTTGAAAACCAAATGGGCTGATTTTGCCTCAGATCACCTAGCTAGACTGTGTGGTGTTACTGAGAAAATCTTCTTGTGGCATACCTGGCTAGCAGTGAGCGGGGTTGTTACACTTGCTAGAAGATGAAAGTTCCAGGGATGTGAGGTCCTGATGAGAGGTCCTTCTGTAAAGAACATACAATTTATTGTCTGCCGTACGTCTATGAATTATAAATGTAAGTTGGGTATCAGAAAAATACCAATTATGTACTTTATCACTTCATCTCTGAAATCTACTCATAAACTGTAAGACGTGTCTGAATTAAGTCCCTGAGGGACCTCAGACTTGCAATTGCTGTAAGGAAAAGAATAATCACAAAGCTATGTACTCGCTCTTTAATGCAATGAGTAAATGGATACACCTTAAGAAAAATGAATCATTCTTGCTAGGTGTTGTGCATGAGTCAGCAGCAGCAGCAGACCAGCTGTAACAGAGGCTTCAGAGGAATCCACTGCAATTAGTCTGTTTATCTGCCTCATCAAGCAGCTTATTTTTTTTAATTTCCAAATTGTCTTCAGATATTTCTTTATGAAAGAAAGATGAAGAGTGGTGCCAAAACCTCTGTTAATTGTCTCATCGCTGAGAAATTTCCAGCCCCATGGTATCGGATTAGCTAATGCAGTTATTGCCTGAAGTGTTCTTTTTCTCAGCTCCATACCTTTTGTGCTAGCCAAGCACAACATTATGAAATGCACATTTAAAAAAATGTGCAGATTACAGGCTCAGGTAAATATTAAAAATGGCTGCTTTTCATGTTTAAAGAGAGCATTTCAGTGTCTACTAGACTATGTTTATTATTCCATAATGTTTAATATTGCATTGTACTAGTGAATTTAGAGTTATATGTTACTTTACCTTGTACAAGATGTAACTTGATACATTTCTTTTAAAAAGAAAGAAATAAAAGAAGGAAAATGCATAGTGCAGGAGTTCTTATTAAGAGCAAATAATTTTGAATTCATAAGTGCTAAGGTAATTGTCTGATGAAGACAATATTGCATGAAAATATAGAGGGAGGCCCTAGCAGTATAGAAGACTGAGGTTTTCAATACCTTAAAATGACTTAGCATTCTCTAAAACCACTTTCTTCTAAAAATAGGTGAAGTTACCTTGTCTAGAGTGTCACCATCTTCTTTGGAATTCATTTCCTAGCTGTCTGAATGCACCAAACCCTGACTCTGTTACTTTAAAATAGTTATAGGAAATTGTCAAAGCTGAAACCCAGTTTGTCATGATAAGGCTTCTTCCAGCAAATGAGTTAAGTAAAAGTTAACAAATCACAACAAAAGACCTTGGTTCTCAAAATGTGGGAGGAGACTATGTTTTTGATGCCTCCCCGTAATTTCCATATTATTAAATTTACTTTTTTCTGGTAATGAAAAAAGTCGTGTATTACATAGTAATAATGTTTCACATATAAAGTACATGAATGTGTACTAAAAGACTTCAGATACGTATCCAGGCATTCACTTCGGCTGTACATTCTTGACTCACGCACACATGCCACTTCCTGCTTAATGGTACACCTGGTTTGTAGGAATTTGTTAAAATCATGCCACACAACAAGAGAGTCCTCAAATGCTTAGTTATTAGTATTTGAAAGAGGTATAAATGCTGGGAGGCAGTGTGCCTCCCTCAGTTACAATGTATTTTACTGATGCCCTTGGGCAGGGTGGTGCTGACTCGCAGCCTTCACTCCCTCTCACTCCTTCATATGCATTTTCTTGGGTCAGCAAAAGAAAGACCAAATAAAGAACAGACCTGTCTATGTAAAAAGTGTTTACAGCCATCATCGTTAAATGATGTAACTTTATATCATCATACAAATTTGTAAGTCTGGATTATACTAATCTATCTAGGTTGCAATTTATCCTAATAAGAAAACAAATTATGTGAGTTACCTGATTATTAATAAAGATACTTCAGGGTACTACCTGGAAATGAAAAGTCCACTTCTAGTGTAGGTCTGCTTAGACCTCCTTGGATGTCTCATTATGCAGTTTATAAATTACTGTGTTTGCTCCAGTAGGACGTTAACAATCAGGATAATATTCTTCAGTCAGTCACTAGTTAGGATTTATGTTGAGTATGCTTTTCATATGTGCCTATCTGGCAGAAAGGCATTTGAAGCTCTAACTTCTGTTCCAATAGCCAAACTCTAATATTTCCACCAGAAAAACCTTCACTAGAAATTGTAATCAATGACAGAAGCAGCCTTATTGAATTCACAACCACTAGGGACAAACTGTACCTCTGTACCCTAGTAATAAATACATCCGATTAAATAGCACAAGTGTGGTTTGTTCTGCAGTACAATTGCGAAGTAAGTCGCAGCACTTTTTTCCCTTGGTGGCAGTCATGCCAACCAGATGAAGTCCATGTTGTTACGAAGGAGTCTGTGTTCTTTTCCTTAATCACATCTTTATTGCACAGGTCTGCGTGTGTTGCAGCAGAGCCCCTTTGTATGCTGAGGGTCTGTCTTCTGTCACTGCTGGTTCATTGTATTAGTTTGTGTCTTCATCATTTGCTTGTTTTATCTTTTTGTCACTGTGCTGCTCTCATTGCTGCTTTATTTCCCATGAACAGAAAATACACAGAAGTATCCAATAGTTGAGAAACAGAAAAATTTTAAATCTCTTCGTCCTTAGGTAGTCTGCCAAAAAAGACTAGGTATTGGGTACATCTGTTAATGCCCTGGCATCTGTGTGGAGTGCAGCCATGTTGTTGGCCTAGCTGTCAACAGGCATCTCATGATGCAGCTAGACAGGAAAAATACAAGGGTTTTTGTAATGGGAATATGGTGGAGATCTGATACTGAATGCTGAAGAAAACCTGTTTGTTGCTGTGGAATATTTTTGCTTGTTTGTCTTAATTTTAGTTTCAGCAGGTTTAAACAAGGAATCATAATTTTCAGTTTCTCCCAGCAAAGCATCCTCTCTTACTTCACCACCAAGCTGTGATTAAACTTCCTTGTACAGGAGACAAATTGCTTTTGCTATCAGCTATTTTCCTTTTTTTTTTCTTCCTCATGCCTCATGAGTTATTCTTTAACCTGTTGGCCATCATCAGTTCTCTTTTTGAAATCTCTAGGGCCACAGCATGCTCTGATAGCATTGTGGCTGTAGGCAATAGTAGTTCAGAGAACTGAAAGATTATTGTGCTATTCTGAAACAAGACATTGATGTAGGCTTAAATTGAAGTCCTTTCACACAGTTAAGTCTTTGAAAAATTTCCATTTCATTTTGGCAATTCCATTCATGGAATATACTGGGAAGAGATAGCTAAATACATATGGAAATGATTTATTTATCACATAAATTAAGCTGCTGTTTCAACACCTAAAATGTAGAGACTTACTACAACACTTTCATTTATTTTAAATAATTGTCTTTTTGGAGGTGAGACCTCCTTATTTGGTTGTATTTTAAATAATTTGGGAAATAAATTCATTTTCTGTTTGATGCTGAAGCTAAAGCACACTGAGCTTACACAGGTAGACCAAAAGGTAATACTCTATGTATCACAAAAAGTCGTTCTGTCAATGGCATTGAACTTCAACCTTCTAGCTCTTCAGCACCTCACTCCTCTGTCTTATTTTTTCTTGCAATGTTATCCAGTAATACTGTGGTAGCTCCTATTTCTGAAGGGAATGGTGTAGCAATCCCAATTGTTTAGGACAGAATATTCAACTAAGCTGTAGTGCATAGTGTAAGGAGTCAGTATACTAGATTCTTTTCATGGATCTCCTTTTGAATTTACGAAGTTTTCAGGTTCTGTAACATAGTCACTACATGTAAAGAAAGGCAGCATTTAACTTCTTAGTGCCATCTCTATCATCACTATGGGTTCTATAGCATAGGTGAGAAAAGCTTATGAAAAGAGGGAAAATGTTTTCATCAAAGTGATTTCGCTTAGAGATGAGTGCATTTTTGGGAGCAGTTTTATGTGCTTGCCTGAAGAAGATGACAGATTTTTAGCCTCTGTAGGCAAGTTATATAGCAAGAATACTCGAATGCCTCAGTGCACAAGTGGCCTGAGGCTGATGCTTGGTGTGAATCTCCTCCAGCTACTCGTGTCTGCTGTCAGGGAAAGTGCAGAGCAGCATAAACATCACAGTTTGCTTACAGTACACTGATACAAATACAGTGGGTGCACAGAAGTAATTTTAATTTATACTAACAACTAAACTGTGTTTGTTAAAACTCAGCCAGATGAGGTTCAGGAACTAATTGCGAAGATCAGTGGAGCCTGTATTGAGGATTGAAATCTTTGATTCTGATGAATTTGAAAGGACAAGTCAAAAAAACCACAACTAAATCACTATCTGTCACTTGGGTGACGTTAAGTGTGTGTGTGTCATTAGTTTAGTATTTGCTAAAATGATAAACTGAATTGTCCTAAAACTATTTTCATAAATTGGTAGATAAACGAGGAAAGAAATAACTGCTTTGCTTACTCGCTTGCTGATGATTTTGATTCATAAGTTTACAGAAGACAGGTATAGTCCATTTTCTGTTGAAGTATGATTTGAAAATGGGCTGTAATTAACAGACAGTATCATAGGCATCCAGCTTTTAAAAGTCATGTATAGAATTTTAGATGGATTACTCTCTGTGAATAAAAAGGTCATCCTTTACTTGCAGTACTACAGCAGAATCTGTCTCTCTGTGATTGTTTCCTTCGGTATGGCAGTCTTAGCTTGTTTTTTAAACAAATTACTGGAATACGTAATCTTTTATTTTCATAATAAGTTAATGTGAATCTTACTTTTGAGGTAGAATGACTTGTTGACACTTTTCAGTAACCATAAGCTGAGCACCTATACTGCATATTAATTAAGAGTAGCAGTATGTCCATTATGATAAATGACTATTAGCAAGTACCTGACAAGTATCAAATGTTTTTAGTCACTGAATGGAAATTGTGTACTTGGTTATCAGCTAAATACTAGTAACAATTTTTTCTGTCTTGAAGTGCAATGAGAGACAGAATTCCCCAGTGACTTCCCCGGGATCTTCCCCTCTTGCACAAAGAAGAAAACCACTTCCAGACCCCCTGCAGATTCCCCATCTTAGTCTTCCACCTGTACCTCCTCGTCTGGATCTTATTCAGAAGGGAGTAGCACGGTCACCGTGTGCCAGCCCAACTGGATCACCAAAGGTAAGTCTTACTGAAGCATTTTTTCTTTATATGCGGATATTGAGAAATTATATTTGTTTGTTTGCAAGGTGAGCTTGCTTTTTGTTTTGGTAGATAGACTATTATGACATTTTGCATGTGTATTTTCTTTTTCAGGAGTTTACTCTGTCCAAAATAACTTTAATTCCCTGTAGCTTAGAAAAACTTTAGATTATATCCACACTGATTACATCTTTCTGAGGCTCAACTTAAACATAAGGAAAAACTTTTTCACTGTGAGGGTGACAGAGCACTGGACCAGGCTGCCCAGAGAGGTTGTGGAGTCTCCTTCTCTGGAGACATTCAAGACCCACCTGGACGCGTTCCTGTGTGACCTAGTCTGGGTGATCCTGCTCTGGCAGGGGTGTTGAACTGGATGAACTTTGGAGATCCCTTCCAACTCCTGCCATCCTGTGTTTCTGTGTGATTCTCTTATCTCCCTCAGTTGACTTTTGTGCATGCCTGTCCGTTTGCATGTTACCTTACACTGTCAGATGTACATATGTTGGTCAAACATGACCTCTGTTTATCTGGTATTGCAGTTGGTTATGGTGAGAATTTTAAAGACATTGCTGTAATGGATCAATTCTGTAATAAACCTTGATTCATGAAAATAAATAAAGAAGTTTCCTGAAAATAGATTTTTAAGTCATTATCTCATTTAAATTATATGTTGCCCTCTGATGATGATTTATGCTCAGTTTCCACAGTATCCTTACAAGAAAAATATGTGCAGATTACCCTGCTTTCAAAACCTCAACTGGCATATATTAGGACTCAAGATTTCAAGGGAAACTGTAATGACTCTACAGCTAATAAATTGTACACTGTGTTTTGTGAAAGTAATGATACTAAAGAGTTAATGATGTTTTTAATGGATAAGCATGAATGACAGCAAATACTATGCTTATTGCTCTGTATCAATGAGTTGATAATTTTGTTGTCAGAGGGGGAATTAGATTTAAATTTTGATTTTTAGGTGATGAATCCAAATTCAGGTTCAAAACCTGACTTGAAACCTGTGTGCTCATAATAATCCAGTATGAGGAACAATGTTTATTTTGTCAGATTTTTACTTCAAACTTTAAAATCAACCTCTGTTTAAGATTCTAGCAGTACATAACTTAGAGGAAAAAGTAGAAGTTTGAATAGTTTTCCTAAGCTTCTTTCATCTCTTTTTTTTGTATGATACAAGATAATTTGTAACACATTGAGGATATATGTTAAGCATTTGGCTTATCCATTGAAAATTAATTTTACAGTGGTGTAATTTTACAAAGTGCATGTCCTTTAAAAACCAAAAAATCAGAAATGCCATTAATATTGCTTTAATTTTTTCAGTGACATTATTTTGAAAATGCTGTTTGTTTCCTTGAAACTTTTCCTGAAAAAAAAAAAAATGGGGGAGTTGAGAGGGAAACAAGATGGGGGTGTCAAGCAATCATTTCATACTTTAAAAAAATTCTTATTTGAAAAAGAAAAAAGGGCAAAAATTTAGTCCTGCCAAGACTACTGCTTCAGTCAAAAAAACTCTTCGCTCTTTTTGCAATGGAAAACTATAACTGTAATTATAACTATAAGCTATAACAAAAATTTGGACCTAGCAATTATGTTCCTGCCTTGACAGTGAGAATAACTGTCTGTTAAAGTAGCAGCTGAATTAAGCACTTTATTTAGTATACTGTCCTATTTATATAGGTAGACATGCAGGTAGAATAATTTTATTTCCAATTTAAGTAGCGTGTTGAGGTGCTGCTCAGTTAATAACGGTGGGCTAACCTGTGAAGTGAGAGGTTCCTACTTTAAAACTTTCGTGGCCTCTGTCTCTTCAGGTGGTAATAATATGCAGGCTTACCAGAGTCCATGAAAATTACACCTTGCAAGGGAAATAATCTTCCCTGTATTTCTTATAGTAGCTGATGGTAAGAGAAAAATATTTCATAAATACCTGGCCTGGGTGTTATTCTGTAAAATGCTGTTAGTAATTTAGTCCTGATGGAAATGCTTTGTTTTTCATCAAATTTGTGCTCTTGGAAAGCTATACAGCTACCTGTATAAGTTTTTTGGTTGTTTTTCTGGTAACTTGTTTTTCAGTTTCTTCCAAATATTGCTCAGAATTAATTTCAGCAGGTAAATAAGTGATTCAAAGGATTTTGGAGAAAAACTGTGGGTCAGATAAATCTGCCTCAGTCAGTTTTATTTCCTCCCATCCACCTCCTTCCCTGGGTTACTCATGCAGCAGCAGAAATGGGGGTATGTTTTCTGAAGAGAGGCCAGGTTGTCTGCAGAATGCAAAGGCAAAACCTAACATTTAACCTACTGGCAAGTACTTTTGTGATGCCTTGAAAATATCAGTTAGAAAAGCTAAAGCCATACTTGATCATGAGAGAAATATGTATGCCTATATGTGACTTCTTTTTCTGTTACTGTGTTGTTTAGTCTTCTCCTTGTATGGTGAGGAAACAAGACAAACCTTTGCCAGCACCGCCACCTCCCTTGCGCGATCCTCCACCACCCCCACCGGAGAGACCCCCTCCAATTCCACCAGACAACAGGATAAGCAGACACCTCCATCATCCGGAAAGCGTGCCTTCCAGAGACCAGCCCATGCCCCTTGAAGGCTGGTGCCCCAGAGATGTCTTTGGGACCAGTCAGTTAGTAGGATGTCGAATAGGCAGTGATGCCTCTCCCAAACCAGGACTGACTGCAATTTCAAACATAAATGGAAGACACAACCGCGTAAGTTCTGACCCGGGATTTATGAGGAAACATAGACGTCACGAGCTGCCTGCAGAAGGTGCCAAGGTATGCAGTGAGCTTAAATGTGTTGAATCCTAATTTGATACCCTACTGCAGCATGGTCTTGCATTGGCTAAACTACTGTTTATATTGGTTGGCGTTGATTTGCTGTTTCTGAATCTTTCCTGTTGATACTTAATAATAAGCTGGTCATAAATAAATGGTATGTTAAATACAGTAACTTCTAAAGCAGCAGTACATGAGGGTCTAAGTTACAGTTTTAATGTGAAACCTTTAAAAAATGGCTTGGAGAAAAAATTCTAGATTTGCTATGTTCTTTTAGCAAATTACCCATACAGTTGGTGCACAATAATAATATAGCACTGTATGCTCTAGTATAGTTATATAGATCTCAGATCCACTTTGAAAGTGGCTTATGCCAAAGTTGTGTATGCATTTGCTGATGAAATAATAGATGTTTCAGTTACCTCTGTCATAGATGAGATGAGGACTTAGTAGCCTCTTCAATCTATAATGTATGCATTATGTACAGACAGTGTATACAAATATACTTAAATTATCAGATATATTGTGTTCATTAACATAAAAAGCTAAATATTCTAAAGCTCAGTTGTGTTGCTCACCAGTAAAACATTATTTTCAAAAGATCATTAAATGAGTCATGATGATCACTGTACTGTAATGGAAAAGATTTAACCTGCCATGACCCTAAGAAAGAGGAAACAAATACATCCAATGCTAAGCTAAATGTAGAATCATTTATTGTATCTTTACCACTGCCTTTATGGGCAGCATCCTTGAAAGTGCTCAGTGATACAACCCCAGTACTGCATTATTTGATTTGGTGTTCTCATCAATACTCTCAACCTTATTCAGGATAATTAGCATTGTAACTCCCTTTGTCTTTGTTATTTGTCTACAGCAATACATGTAACTTTGACGGATCTTTTTCTTTTTTGTACTTAAATCAGGGCTGCAGCTGCTGGAGTAGCACAGTGTTGTAATTTGTACATAGCAGCTTTTGACTTCTCTTGGACAAATGTCCAGTGTAATGCCCAGTAATCGGTTTTCAGTGCTGAGCGTATTCAGAGTTGTTACTTGCAACCTTTCCACTGATTTTCTAGCTTGGTTTGGCCAAGGGTCATCCCTTGTAGAAGTATGATTTCCTGTCCTTGATTGCAGTGAATAGTATCTATGTCTATAACTATGGTGTTTCTTCTATTAAAAAAAATAAAATATCTGGGGAGAAGAGCATAGAAGAAGGAGTATATCTGGCACTAGGCAGCTTCAGACAACTTGCAATATTATGTATAGTTGAGGAGGCTTAGATTTTAAGAGATCAAGTGGTGATGGCCTAAGAAAAAATTCCTAGTTCTGCTCTAATCAGTTTTATCAAAGCAGCTCTGTAATTTATTCATAGAGCAGGTTATTAACTCAGCGCTGCTGCTCTTTCTTTTCTTGAAGACTACATAGCTTGTGCTAAGAGGGATGGATTTGTGGTTAAGTCATGGTAGTTAGAAATCATCAATTTTTCTCTCTCTTTGCTTTTCCCAAGGTCACAAGCTATTTAACCTTTCTATCTCCATTTCCTATGGATGTTTTGGTTATTTTGAAACTTTGTTCCTGAAATTCAATTAATATTGGTAAAGCACGTTGGCATATTTGATGAAAGATGCTTAAGAAGTCCGTGATGTTATATATGATTAGAATGTCCTTTTATCAGCTTTGAGGCAAAACACCAAAATTTTACTTACAACTAGGCTGTTGTTTAAAATGCTGTAGCTTTTCATCTGATTTGAAAAGGATACTGGGTTTATGTCTTCAGATAGCATTCCACTTATGGTCTGGTGCATTACTGAAGCTGATTAAATGAATACTTCTCAAATCAGAATAACCAATGTAGAAGTGCCAATGTAGCCTGGGAAGTTACATACATTCTTGAACCAAATGCTGTTTGAACTGTTATCTTCAGGTCATAGATCTAAGCCATTCAGTTAAATGATGCAGCTGACAACTCTGAATTATCATTTCAGGCTGTATACACATTCACAAGGGAAACATTTAATGAATTTTCATCCCTTATTCATATATTAATTATAATATAATCTTTTTGCTATTGATAAAAGCCAAGAGTCAGGAAGACAGTCCTCTGGGTAGGAGATGGGTTCTGTCAGGGACTATATCACAGAGTTTTAAAAAACATGAGTATGTTTGTCATGCTGTACCTGTTGTTTTCCCACTGTACTTACCTCTCTCACTTTGATCGGTTTGCAATCTCAAAATCCTAATTTTGCCCCAAACTGTTCACTTGTAACTGAGTAGTCCATCTAGTAACCGTGATGTGGAACACACAAAAAAGTTTTAAGCTAACGTGTTCTACAGCTCCCAAATGGGATGAGCTGAAAGAGTTATGAAAGAGTCACGTCAGACAACAGCTCTGTGATACAAACTCCTAGGAAAGCCTTTACCCCTAATCCTCTCAAGGTCTATTTTGTAATACCTAGTTGGTGAACATCCATGGTGATAAACGGGAGGAGAGACCCATTGTAACACTTGTGTAATTTTTAGGTCTTTTCAAATGGTCATCTGATAAATGAAGAATATGATGTCCCTCCACGGCTTTCACCCCCTCTTTCAGCTGCCTCCATCATCCCTAGTATAAAGTAAGTAAAATTTATTTGTAAAAGAAATGTGTTCATTACTGTTAGATAATAGCACCAATTCTCTGGTGGTAAATGGAAAATGGGAAAAAGAAAGAAATGAAATGAACTAATGTAACTCGGTGATGCACTTTCCATGAACTTTAATGTGGCTTTACAAAGGCAACTTAAATTGTATTGATAAAATGAGAGCAGTTCTGATGCTAATTGAACATACATTTTTAGAGGAAGAGAGAATAAATCGTAACAGATCTTGCTCATAGGCATTTGGCAGTGGGAGCAGACACTGTTTAGTTTTGCTTCTGCTACTACAGAAGTGTGATCAGAGCTATTTATTGCAGGAGGTGGAAGATTCTAGGGGAAGTACTACGAGTAAAGAGCATGATTTGTGTACATTCAGCCCCTAACCTAGTCGTGCTTTCTGGGATTCCTACACATGGAGCTTTATCCAGGGTTCGTGCCAGTATATTTCCTTTGTTGTGGCTGCCAGACAAACAAACGAAAACATTGTATATCCATTTTAAATGAAATCAACCTTCCTGAACATGTTTTGGGAAATACTGTAATTTCAAGTTGCAGACTACTCTTAATTTTCCAGTAATGTGGCTGTTTATTTGGTACCAAGATGTTACTGTGCACAGCAAATACCTTTGGACTCTGAACCACACAGGATTTTCTACAGAATGAGAGATACTTAAAATAGAAAGCTTGGAAGTGCTATAAAGTAATTCGTTATTTTTTGGTGTGTGTTTTTTGTTTGTTTGTTTTTGTTTTGGTTTTGGGTTTTTGGGTTGTTTTTTTTAAGGAAATCAGATCATACCGCATTGTTTGATGTTATCCTACAATTTTTCCAATGTACTCCTGTGATTCTTGCTGTTAAATAAAATAATTGGGCAGTCACTACTTATTAATACTGATAATTTTCTCATTAGTGTGTAATTTTGCCAAATCTTCAGCATTTGTACCATTGTTGTATGGTTAGTGGTAACTTAAAAAGACAAATGTATTTCAGTATTTTATTAATATCCTGGTTTTTCTCGTCCTAAGCGCTAGAATAGAAGTGCAGTGGAGCATTGACTTTTCATTCAGAAGCATTTGTTCAGGTGGAATAATTGCTGAGTTGAAGCTCTCCATGTTTACTTTCAGTTAAGAAGCAAATTTCAGAACATTATCCAGACAATTTTGTAATTAAGTGCTGTGACGTAACTGACTGAGGTAGGATATCACAGGGGTACTGTTTGGATACCTTATGTACTCGATCCCCTCTGTGTATTGATCTCCTTGAATTGAAGACTCCTTCCATGATGCACTTCAACCCCTGGGATGTTCAGAAAGAGAAAGTAATAACTCTGATAGACAAACTAATTATCTTCATATTCCAAAGCAAATTGAATTCCAAAGAGAGGAAGATTCTTATTTTTATTTTTCATAATATTGAAATAACAAAACTTTCTGCTTCATGAAAATCCCATTTTTTTACTCAGATTTTTGTAAAGCCTAGAATCAAAGTGCAATGCATACATACGTGCTCTTTGGAAATTCCACAAGGTATCATAGCAATGTGGGCAGGCACAAAATCTATGTCAGGTCAGTCCAAAACTAGAATGTGTGAGTTTAGCTTGATCAAAAGAAATACCTTCATTAGCTGAAGTCTTCAGAATAGAAAACTGGTATATTCCAGCCAAAAGAAAGTCTTCATTTGCTAAAACCAAACTCTGTAAACTTTTCAGGAAGAAATTAACTTTCATTTCTGATTTGATTTGTACTTAAGCCTTTTTAAAAATGTACAGCACATTTTAAATTTTTATTTTTAAAATGTAAAAATGTCAATACATAACCTAGGGGTAAGAAGTTCAAATTACCTAATTAACAGCTACTAAAATCTCACATGGAATGGCAGCTAAAGTTAAAAATGGATCGTTTTATGTTGTTCCTTGAAGCACCAATATATCAATTTAAATTGATTTCAAATTAAGTTTTGGCCACCACTAAAAAACACTTTGATAATCTACGTGTATAGTAATATGTAGGTGGAAAAACTGTGTGGGAAAATCTTAAAAAATAGTAAGTTTAGTAAGTTTAATACTTCCACCAACCACAACAATTGCATTCAAAAAAATAAATAATTTTTAGCATGATTTAATTTGAATTGTCGGAGAGAATATTTTTACAGCATATTTTTTCTCCTGTTAAATTGACTGCGCTAAACCCTTATAAATATGTTAAACTGTACTTGATCCAAAATACTCTTGCTTTCCACAACTGTGCTACTGCAGTTAATCTTGTGCAAGATTCTAATGTTTTTCTGATTTCTGTTCTCTGCAGTTGTCTTCAGAGCTAACATGTTTCGTACAGCAGCACGACATTTTTTTTTCTACTTATTGTCATAAGTCTGTAATTTCAAAGGTCTGTCTGAAGGATACGTTGACCATGATTGAAATATCTTAGTCTAAATAATGAGGAGGCAAAATGAGCCTTAGTTGAGACTTTGTAATTCTAAAATGTCCCCACTTGTTTGATCAGTTTTTACTGAATAAGACATTACAAATATGAGCTTTTTTCTTTTTCTTTTTTCTGTACTAAATGATGATACACTAACAGAAAAGCTCTAGTGTCTTCTTTTCTGGAAACGGTGCTGATTCTTTTTCATTTTACTAAAGTGATTATTATTAACCATACTTTAGTAATGAATTGTTGGACTCATATTCACCAAGCATCTGATTTTTATTTTCCACTCAGCCACTATGTTGCTAACCCTACATGTTAAAACACTTATTCTTTTGTTGGACTGCTCTAATTCTGACAGATTATTTTTAGCAGCTTTGATAAAATTGCTATTTCATTCTTGAAAAAATAAATAAAACTTTTATGGCAAAGATACAGAACTGTTCTTCCCCCAAACTTGGAAATTTTTAGGTTAAATAGTGTGTGCTAGCAAGCAGTACTCTGTGTAGGACAGCAGAGCTGATAGTAAGGACCTGATGTCTGTACTGTAGATGTTATGGGGCAGCAGTTGAGCTGCAGTCTTGTCCCATGAATATGAACTGTCTCTAGCAATCGGTGCATAGCGGGGCACACTTGGAGTGTATCATGTATTTTAGTTTAATCTGAAAAGTATTCAAGTTGTGCGCTCCTCAGTGCAAATCAAAGCATGGTAAGTGGGGAGATTAAAGGGATTCATTTCAAAAGCACAGTCTTGATCCAGACTGAAATATGTGAACTGCAAGTTCATTGTGTCTAAGTTCTGGGAATCAGTTTATTAGTAAATGGTGGAAGGGGAACTTTTCCCTGAAATACTTGTAAATAAACATGAGATGTTGGTTTTCCTGGACTTTGGTTTACAACTAAGCTGGACATTAAGCAGCTCAACAAAAACAAATTCTCGCATCTTTTCGTGTTTTACTTTTGGCTGTTGGTGCTCAGTAGGACAAGAGAGATTGACGTCTAGCCTTCTGTTCAACAAACTGGAAAATATAAAGTCATCACTTGCAGAACATAATTCTGACTTTCAATTTTAAAGTATTTCCCCATAAGGAGTAGGAAGGAGAACTAGAGAATATATAAATACAAGGTACTGGTCAGTTTTGTTTTCCTCTGTTCACAAATCTTCTAAAGATGTAAGAGTAATGAAGTTTTTTAAAGTGCAATTATAAAGATGTCACCAGCTTGATAAACAGATGCCTAAGTGCTTCATGTCTTTGCTTGTAATGACAATGTTCATCTGTTCAGTTAAGAAAAGGTAAAATATTTGTCTGTTTATCTTAGTAGGTGGTTTGTTGTAGAACAACAGAGTCTTAGAGCAATAGAGATTTAATAGAACAATTTGTTCTTGTAGAAATTTCAATAATCATGGAGAAAATGGGATAGACATCTAGCAGAAAAATACAAAAGATGTCTGAAGTCAAATATCGTTACAACTGGAGTAAATTGGAAGAGCAATATGATTTTTTTAAAAAATATGAATTCTGAAATATAATTTAAGTCTAGGACAAATTTAGGATCCTAATGGAAAGTATATTATAAATATACTTTGGCAGTCTAACTCTTTTTGCTTTACAAATCAAAAGCACTTTTCAAATATTAATCACATAATAGTTACAACTTGGCAAATATTGTCCTTACTTTGAAGATAGGGA